TTTTTGCGTTACAAGACTGCTTTACTAAAGTGACAATTGTGTGGTCATGCAATACTGCACCCATATGAAATGCATGTCCTTTTTTCCCCCCAAAAAGTGACAATTTTGAGATATAAACAATATTTTTTACTTTTTGCTATTATTATTATTTTTTTTTTAATTTAAATATTTATTAAATTTTTCATGTTAATACAAAAACCCAAAAAGGGGAATAATTCGCATAAAAATAGACATTTATAACATTTCTATCTTTCCCCTACTAAAAACACTTTTCTTTCCCATCCCACAACCCCCCCCTTCCCGCCCCTCACCCCCCCTCCTCCCCCTCTGCAGACTCTAGTCCATTCTAATCTCTCAAGGCTTATTAATTTTTTGCTAACATCCTAGTTCATGTACTTTTTGCTATTAAACATGTCTACTAAAAACATTTTGTATTAAGAATTTTTATTGATTTTCACATATAAATATATATACACAAAGAACACATTAAAAGAGAACAAAAGGGAAAGAAGGAGCACATCGATGGGGAAATCTGCATGGTTGTAAACATAATAATGACACATAGTTTCAGTGGGGAGGCCATCAGAACAGTACAGTTGGAGAAAGGTGGGAGGGGGAGAAATTATCCCGAGGGTGCCACACTGCCTCGAACGCAGCTGTCGAGCAGGTATGTGTCGCAGTCAGGTATTCCATATGTCGCACATAAGCAATAATTTTAAACAGAGTTGACATCGAAGGCGGTATAGCGGATAACCAACACATAGGAATGCATCTTCTGGCAGCAGTCAAAATATGTGCAGTGAGTTTCCTGGCCGCCTTGGGAAGACCTGGGAATGGCAAGCTCAATAAAAAGTGTAGGGGCTCAAAGGGGAGAGAGGTATGCAATAACAATTGTAAAAAAGACAAAACCTCTTTCCAAAAAGGGACAATGGATCCACAAGTCCAAAAAATATGGAAGAGGGAGCCAAAATCTTTCCCACAACGCCAACAGGCAGAAGAAGCATTCAGGTTAAAAGTATGAATAACCTCGAGTGTTTTGTACCACATCAAAATTTTGTATGTGTTTTCTCTATAAACCTCACAGACAGAAGAGTTAGCTGCGTTTTCCCAAATTTTCTTCCACTGTGTTAGATCAATGTCACATTGCAAAAACTGGGACCACTTGCACATGTAGTGGTGAGTGTCAATAGAGAGAGAGGGGTAGCGTCCATTAAGAGTTTGTATATATTGGAAATTATACCCTTTTGATGTGGGCCCTGTATGCAAAGTCGTTCAAAGCGAGACATGGTGGAGAAAAAATGGCGTGTCTGAAGGTATATATAAAAATGATGGGAAGGCAGAAGAAAGGGGGGAAGAGGAGGAGAGGGGGGATGGGGGGAGGTGAGGATGCAACCCCGGAGTGCCCAAAGAAGAACACCTCAGAAAAGCATCAAGCAGGCTCGTCGCTGGAACAGGTGAGACGAGGACGTTGTGGAGTACGTGAAAGACGCGTCCGGCCCTTACGAGCTGGTGTCCAAATCTTGTTGGGGGTAGCGGAAGGACGAGACGGAGTAGGCGGTAAAGAGGAATTGTCTTCCGGTAGAGGAGGTAGTCCCAGTTGCTTCAAGAGGGAGTCCGCCTTAAGAAGATCACGTAGAAAAATTTGGGAACTATCTTTGGAGACGACCAGCTTGAAGGGAAAACCCCAGCGATAAGGGACACGGTGGTGTTGGAGATGATGTACTGGACGTACTGCACATGGACGTACTGCACCAATTCATCAAATTTATTCTCCAATTGGCCCGCACGCTCCCCAATCTGCGATATTTCTCCACGGAGATCCAGAGCCAATTTTCGCGGATATAGTGGCGGTAATATTGCGCAAAAATACTTGCAATTTATCCTCCAGCGCAGAGATCATGAGAGTAGATGACACACGGGGACTGGCAGGAGCTGATGGAGAACGGCTTGATAAAGGGCACTCCACTGCCCCCCCCCCACAGGGGTCGGGGGCTCGGATTCCTCCATCTGATGATGTTGTGGGAGTGAGGAGGTGGGCTGCATCAGAGAAGCAGCTGGTGCAGTACCGCCGGCCGCCACTGGGGGTTCGCCGTAGCTTATCTGCGGGATAGCGGACGAAATTGAGGCCGGGGATTGCAGCCTGTGTAGGAACCGCTGCAGCAGTGACGGCCGCGGTTCATGTGGCGGTGGGGAAGGAGGCTTCCAACACCCGATCTTCCCTATTATGAGGCTGGGGTCTGCTGAGCTGGGTGCCCCGCTACTACGACTCACCTAGGGATGCTTATGGAGCAGCGGTGCACCATGGGTGAGTCTCTAGGGTCAGGATGTGAGCGGAGCTCAGAAGGATGCGGCCATCAGCGATCCCGGCCGCGCATGCGCCCTCCAGTAAAAACACTTTAAAGATCAAATTTCATCATAAATCTAGGCCAAAATGTATTTTGCTACATGTCTTTGCTAAAAAAAATCCCAATATGTTTAAATTAATTGGTTTATGACAAAGTTATAGTGTAGATATACTGGGATTGTTAAATTTTATTTTTACTAGTAATGGCGACAATCGGCAACTGCGGGACTGCGGAGGGCATTCTGACATTGGTTGGAACTGACGATGTCACTGACATCCCCCAATGACACCAATACAATACAGTGCTAATAAAAAACACTGACACTGTACTAATGACACTGGGCAGAAAGGGGTTAACATGTGGGGCGATCAAAGAGTTCACTGTGTGCTGTGCGCCATTTTACATAGTGTGCTGTGTGTGTGCTTTCAACCGTAAGCATACTGCTTTGTATGGCTGTGCTATGCACAGCCATGCAAAGCAGTGTGCAGGAGCTAACAGGGGAGAGAACTGTATTGTGACTGGGATCCGGTGACTGACAGCCGTGGCCGGGCATAACAGCGTGGGCTGCCCCTACCCGGAACTGCGAAATCACATATATATATATATACAGTATATATATATATATATACACACGTGATGTTATGCACCCGTGCCACCCTGTAGCAGTACTTCTGATATAGGGCAGATGGGAAGTGGTTATTGTCTCTAAGCAGATGTTACCCTTTGCTTTGAATTTTCTTGAAAAACAGCAATGCACTTCCTGACATCTGCCTGTCTATAGTCACTCTTGTTCTGTAGCCTTGTTTCTGTAAATTTGCAATTTTTGATTATAGCCATATTAATGCACATAGGTGGGTTGGTAGCTTTTAATGAGACCTTTTAATTGGTGAGTGAAATCATGGGTTGCATCATAATCCAGTTGTTTATAGAAAGTAGCATTTACCAATTGTTTCTAGCACTCTTGTATATATTTTTTGCATCCATTACAACAACTGCACTCCTGTGCAATTTTCGATAATTCTGAAATCGGGGACTTCCACAGGTTGCCATAATCCACAAGCCAGGAAATCCAGGCAGATCCACCATAACAGTTATGAACACACTTACTGAGCAATCTCAGGAAAAGTGTTAAATCCATTAGTAATAAATACTGTTAGTTTCCTGCAAGAAATGGATTTTCTGAACAAGATCAACAATATATACAAATTACCACCAAACACACTTCTAGTCACTGGATGTGGAATCTCTGTACAGTACCATGCCTCACAAGGATGGCATTGCTTCATGTTACAGATTTTTAGCATCCTCACCAAATCACAGATACAGCACTGAGCATGCTACATTGAATTCATTCTAACACACAACTACTTAATTTTCAGTAACGACATCTATGTTCAATGTATAGGAACTGCTGTGGGAAGTAAAATGACTCCCCAATATGCTAATTTCTCTATGGCCGACCTGAAGGACAGATTCCTGAACAATATACAACAAAAGCCATGCAGATACTATTGCTATAACGATATTTTCATCGTATGGGCAGAAGGTGAAGAGATTCTAAAAATATTGTATGCATTGATGAACACCCATCAATCAAATTAAAAATGGACTGCTCAAACACACGTGTCAATTTCCTAGACACCACAGCATATATCAGAAATGACAAGATGCACACCTCAATATACAGGAAACCCACTGATTATAAGCAATTATCTCCAAATTCCAGCTTCCACACCCCAGCACACTAAATGAACCTTCATACACAGACAGACCATAAGATATCACCAAATATGCTTGGACCTGGAAGACATAAACAAACATCTCAAAACACTAGCAGACACACTCTGACCATGGCTTGGAGTGGGAGCCAGGAAGGAGCCTGACCATGGCTTGGAGTGGGAGCCAGCTGTGAGGGCTCCCGGCTCCCAAGCACCTCCACTGTCCTACCGAGAAGGGGAGAGATCTGCAGGAAGCCCTGGAGAGACTAGTCGGGGAGAGGGAGGGCTTGCCTGGCGGGGTGCGTGGACCGAGGACCTCCGGGAGTGTTGGCCATCGTGGCGGGTCTTCCTGTGCTCTCGGCCCGGTGCTGTGTGTTCCCCGGAGCCCAGTGGCTGCCTGGCGATCAGGTGATCTGCCGCAAGGGAGCTCTGGGTGGCAGAGGAGCCGGCATTTCGTGGAGCAAGGGAGATCTCTCTTCCTCCTGCACACAGGACCGTGACAGCTGGGGAGACACGCGGAAACGGGCTGGGAGAACCACCCCTGCAATCCACTCATTGTCGAGTGCAATGTTCCCCAGAAGAGAGTACCTGCAGCCGCCTCACCCCTCACTTGGAGTAACGGAAGAGATGTCCTAAAGTGCGGGAAAGTCTCTCTCAGAGAAGTTCAATCCCATAGAAACCAGAGATCTCACATGAGGGGGGAGAAGTATTCCTGTTTCGAGTGCAGGAAATGTTTTTCATGTAAACCCTATTTTTATATATATACCAGTGATAATACAAGAGGGAGCAGCCATACCCTTGTTCAGAGTGCGGGGGAATGTTTTTCACAGAAGTATTTCCAGTCTGCATATATGTCAGAGACCTCACATGAGGAAGATGCTATAGCCCTGCTCTAAGTGCAGGAAATGTTTTCTCAGACAAAACTAGACTTTACATATATCAGAGATCTAATACAGGTGAAAAACCATATGTCTGTCCTGAGTACGGAAAATACTTTTCAGTGAAGCCCAGTCTTCACACACATCAGAGATCTTACATGGGAGGAGAAGTTGTATACCTGTTCAGAGTGCGGGAAATGTTTTTCAGAGAAGCCCTTTTTCTTCATATATGACAGATCTCATACAGGGGAAAAGCCGTATTGGGAACAAGAGGGTGAGGGAGAGCGCAAAAGTACTAGATTAATATATTGCATGGGAACTGAACTGTATGTATTGATACTATATGTTTAAACTGAGGAGGGGTTCACCCAAGGGGTCTTAGAGGAAAATCAGGAGGACAATGTAAAACAGATAAAGACCTAGAAGAAGAGGACCCGGGTAGATGAGTTTGGGAGTGGGGGGAGAGAAAAAGGAAGAAAAGAACTGAGAGGGGGATACCCAAGGTAGACAACAAATTTTTATATAAAATCAAAAATAGCCCCCCCCCCCCCCAAACCAGAACTGCGGAAAATTGAAATAGTCCCTGACAGCATCAAAAAACAAAGTATCAAAGGGAGGAGGGACTAAGGCTTCCCAAACTGGGTAAATTAAAAAACATATACCCTCACAGGAGAAACAGACTCCAGAGAGACAACAGGGAATAAGTGTAAGAGGTGAGAGGGAAAACGGCGGGGAATGTTCCAGGCTATCCCTGGGAATAGCTAAAAGTAGTCAACATATGGAAGAAGAAGTGGATATGGGACAAAGTAGAAGAACAAGAGGAGAGCTCACAGACTAAATCAGAAATAGCAGAAATGTTTAAAGGACTTGAAAGATCCCTAAAACAGAAACTGGTGAAATTACACAAAGACCTGGGGCAAATATTATCAAGGGTGGAGGAGACGGAAAGAAAAACTAGATAAACATGCCCAAATTATACAGAAATTAGTATAACGGGCGATGGAAATGAGAAAAGAACAAAGAAATCTGTTATATAAATTGGAAGACCAGTAGAACAGGGATAGGAGATGCAATCTAAGGATTCAAGGCTCTCCCAAGATCTCCCAAGGAGAAGATTTGATGGGAAGAATAATGAGAATGCTGAATCCTATAATGGATAGAACTATAACAGAGCCTCTCAAATTGGAGGGAGCATATAGAATAGGAAAATACGTACAAGAAGTTAGAAAGAAAAAGCCAAGAGATGTAATAGTGCAATTCCATAATTTTAGAGATAAAGAAGAGCTTTGGAAGAAGATAAAAGGAAGAGCAATAATAAAAAAAACGGAAACATGAATATACAGATCTTTGCTGATTAAGCAGTGGAAACATTAATAAGAAGGAAAACTTTGAAATCGTTATTGGAACAGATGAGAAAACAGAATGTTCGATATAAATACAAAGACAAACCCCAGCGCACAGGACCCACCCCTTCAGAGAAAAAAACAATTATATACCAGAGTTATAAATTGCTGCTGCACACAGGTGTACCAACCACAATCAATAAATGCAATAAACAGAGCAAAAATACCACCTCAGTACATATACAAAAATTAACTTCTAAATTAATAAAAATGAAAAAATAATAATATATGGTGAAAAAAAATTAATATATGAATTAATTATATAGGTAAATAATAATGTGATATAAAAATATAGTGTCCAAAGCAACTAAAAAGTCCAAGTGAAACATAAAAATACAAATAAAATAAAAATAAAAATCTTTTCTTCCCAGTGCCAATAGTGATCCATTTCCACCATCCACCAGTGAGACAACCAACATACACCGCACTCACCAGATTTTGGTGAGTATTGCGCCTTTTAGGATTATTATGGGCTCCTAGACCCCCTTTAAGACCTCCAAGATTTCTTCCACCCAAGATGGTAGATAATCCTTCACTTGCTCCTCTCACCAGCTCCACAGCAATGCAGGGAAAAAAATATTACAATAGTGTAATACTGCTACAACTCTGTAATAAGTTTAAAAACCTTTTGCCAGACCACTCACATTTTCCATGATCATAAACAGCGTTTATTATAGCCTTTTGAAGCTTCCACAGATACACAGATTCCACATTCCTTTAAAGCCAAGACCTCACAGCCTGATCCAACAGCAGGATGACAGGGCACAGAATGCACTATTCACAGTTAGCAAGATAGCTGCTTGGAACGCACCGCTCAGCGTGCGTTCCACTCACCGGAAACGACGTGGGACGTCAGGACAGCCAACCGGAAGTGCGGTGACGCGTTTCACCCCACCCACAGGGCGTTCTCAAGCTTGAGAACGCCCTGTGGGTTGGGTGAAATGCGTGGAAGGAGGGTATGGGGGTGGGGATAGGTAGTTTAAGACTCTGCAAAATAGTGGGAGAAACATCAGTCTGGAGAAATCCTAGAAATCAAAGGGGAAGATGTGTAGGAAAGAGGAATAGAGAAGAAATGGGGAAGATAGAGGTGTGGAGAGAAGAAGAATGGAAGAGATTTACTTTGTGACCTATAATTTTAAAGGGTTAAATAGTCCTGGGAAGAGATTTGGGATTTTTAAAGAAATTCAACATAGATTTTCTTCAGTGGTTTTTTTACAGGAGACACATTTGGTGCAAGAATCAAATGTGAAATTAAATTCCAGATATTATCCAATGTGGTTTTATGCAGATTTCCCAATTTAAACATGCCAAGGGAGTGGCAATAGGTTTTGCGAAAAAAAATACAAGGTTTAAGCTGGAAGACAGATTGGTAGATCCGGAAGGGAGATTTCTGTTTCTGAAGGGAAAATTACAGAAAAGACTGTACATTAGCAAATATTTATTGCCCAAATAAGAAACCGGAGGTATTCCTAAAAAATACTCTGAGGAAGTTAATGGATTTCAAAAAAGGCAATTTAATTGTGGTAGGTGATTTCAATCTCTGCATGGATCCCCAGATGGATATGACGTCCCCTGTGCAGAGAGATGGTAGTAGGTCTCTGAAATCCTTGAAAAAAATGATGTACCAATGTCAACTTGTAGATATATGGAGAATTAAGCACATGAAGGACAGAGACTATACATTTTATTCTCATGCACATGAGATGTATTCATGACTGGATTATATATTGCTGGACCATCGACTTATCGAGTCTCTGGCCAAAGTAAAAATAGAAGTGATGTCAATATCGGACCATGCCCCTGTCACAATGCAATTATTATGGGAAAAAGAGCAGATCGGGGGACATTATGGAGGTTAAATGAGACACTTCTCCAGGACTCAGAGGTGGATCAAAGAATTAAAAAAAAGAAAGAGCAATTTTTGAGGAAAATGATTCTGGGGAAGTGTCCGTAGCAACAGTGTGGGAAGGCCTATATTAGAGGAATCCTGATAGCAATTGGAGCAAAAAAGAAGAGGTAAAGAAGAAAAAAAATAAACACGCTTCTTAGTGAACTTTGTGAGTTAAAGCAGACACATAAACATAAAGTAACAAAAAGGGATTATGCAGAGGGTAATAAATAAAAGAGAAGCATTAAATAAATTTCTGGAAGAAGATAAGAGAAGAGTGTTCAATAAAATGATAAGTGAGAGATACAGATGGGGAATAGGCCAGGAAAGTATTTAATGAGGGCTCAGAGAAAAAAAAAATCTAGGAACTATATACAGAAAATAAGAGACCACAAAGGAGATTTAATGTATTCAACTAAAGATATAGCTAAAGTGTTTAAAGAATATTATAATAAGCTATATAATATTATCCCACACAGCTCCATAAGTAAATATGAAGTGGGAAAAATAGAAAAAAAGACAGACATACTTAAAAAAGGCAGGATTACCAAAATTAAGTGAGGAGCAATTAAAATCCCTAGAATCAGCAATAACACAGGAGGAAATACACTTAGCATTAAAGAGCACTATAGCTGGGAAAAGTCCAGGACCTGATGGATACACAGTGAGATATTATAAAAAATATAAAGAATTATCAGTACCTAAACTGAGGAAATATATGAATGCATTGGGAGGAGAGATGGAAATGAGGAGGGAATCCCTACAAGCTCAAGTAGTTCTCATACATAAGGAAGGTAAAGATGATACTCACTGTTTAAGTTACAGACCGATTTCCTTATTAAACACAGCTACCAAACTATATGCAAAAGTTCTGGCAAACAGGTTGAAATACTTAATGTCGGAATGGATACACATAGACCAAGTAGGCTTTGTCCCAGGGAGAGAGGGTAGAGATAACAGACTGAGATCTCTGTTTCTCATACAAAAAAGTAGGAAAGAAAATCCCGGCGGTGGTACTCTCTATTGATGCTGAAAAGGCATTTGATAGAGTAGATTGGGGATATATGTTGGATACATTGGAAATATTGGGGATGGGACCTAGAATGAGAGAGTGGATAAGGAAATTATATAGTCAACCCTCAGAAGCATTCATGGTCAATGGGGAATTGTCAGAGTATTTTGGGATGCAGAACGGAACTAGACAGGGATGCCCTTTGTCTCCATTGCTATATGTTTTATTTATTCCTTATTTAAAAGAAATTTGGATAGGAGATACGGAGCAAAAGGTGGCAGCTTATGCAGATCACATGCTGTTCTATGAGGGAAACCCAAGGATAACATTGCCAAATTTAATGAAATCACTGAAAGAATATGGGAGATATCAAATTTAAAAATTAACCCAACAAGAACAGAAATTGTAAACATAAATCTTCCAAATAGAGAGAAAAATAGGTTACAGGAGGAATTTCCCTTTGTTTGGAGAGAAAAAGAATTGAAATCTAGGAATAAAAATAACTGTATACTCCAAGAACTTGTATAAATTGCAATATATCCCATTGTTAAATGAGATCAGGGATGAACTATGAAAATTAGGAGGGGGAACCCCATCATGGATAGGTCGTATACATTTGATAAAAATGGTGATTGTTCCAAAAAATATATATATTTTTTAATTTTAAGTATTTATTAATTTTTCCAATTTAAATACATATCATCATCACATTATATATATAAAAAAAATATAATATAATATCCAACATTCTACTTTATTTTCTCTTTCCAGGATTATTTCTCTATCCCTCCCGCCTCCTCCCCCCACCCTATCCCCATCTCCCTTCCCTGCATTTTTTCTCCATCTTCTTGTAAAAGCAAGTAAAATTTTCCTATCCTTCTCTTTATTCTTTCCTATACTTCATGTATAATCTGGCTTTTTCCCAATTCT